GTATGTCCTACAAACTGCTAATTTGACACTGGTATATGAAGCCTTTTTCAAATATATAATTGAAAAAAATTTTCATGTTTTTTGTTCGTGGTTTTCATGGGATTTTCCTGAACGAGATACAATCCTGGTCGCATGAGTACTGTGTCTAGTGGGACTGAGAGTGTGCTTGTGCAGCGACCTGACGACTGCCTAGACCTGGAGTCTCCAATCACTACTGGATGTTTACCCTTTTCCACACATCAGTGTTATAATGAACTTTGTTCATAAGGCCCCTTAAGTTTCTAAAGCAGATCTTCTTATAGCAGGGGTCTCCAAACTGCGACTTGCAGGCCGCGTGCAGCTCCAGGGCCACATGTGGCCCACCACAAGATTTTATGTGGCCAGCAGTAACTTGAAATATTTATAAATATTAAAACTAATAAACTCATTTTCAGTCACTTAAAGTTAAAGGTTTTGTTGCTTATAACAATTTATTGGTTAAAATTTGTTCAAATTTTAGTTCTAATCTTTTCATCTTTCACATTCACCCATCAGTTATGAAAGAAAAATGGAAAAGAACAGCGGAGAGTGAGTGTCGCTTGTTAAATGAATTATGGGGAGTAAAGTACTTGTATGTACAAGCAGATGATGAAGCCTTGTGTGTAGTATACCAGGAAACTGTTGTAGTTATGAAGGAGTACAATGTACGTCGCCGCTATGAGACCAAACATAAACCAAGTTATTCCCAGTACACAGGAACACAGTACACAGGAACACAGTACACAGGAACACAGTACACAGGAACACAGTACACAGGAACACAGTACACAGGAACACAGTACACAGGAACACAGTACACAGGAACACAATACACAGGAACACAGTACACAGGAACACAGTACACAGGAACACAGTACACAGGAACACAGTACACAGGAACACAGTACACAGGAACACAGTACACAGGAACACAGTACACAGGAACACAGTACCAGGAAACAGTACACAGGAACACAATACACAGGAACACAGTACACAGGAACACAGTACACAGGAACACAGTACACAGGAACACAGTACACAGGAACACAGTACACAGGAACACAGTACACAGGAACACAGTACACAGGAACACAGTACACAGGAACACAGTACACAGGAACACAGTTCAGATACAAATGAATCAATGTAACGCAGTTTGCTTTCCCAACAAGTACTTTTTTTTACGCCGAAGAGAGCTGAAAATGAAGCTTTAACCAGGACCAGTTATAAAGTAGTGTTTGCATTAACTAAAAGGAAAAAGCCATTCACAGATGGACATCTGATCAAAGAGTGTATGATAGAAGCAGTGGCAGAGTTATACCCAGAAAAAGCAAATCTATTCAAAATCCTCAGTCTTACGCCAGATATTGTTGCTCGTAGAACTGAAGATAAAGGAAGCAATATATTTCATTAAATTGAAGACAAAGCACGAAATTTTCAGTTTTATCCTCTCTCATTTGATGAATCGAATGATGTGACTTTCATATCACAACTCTTAGTATTCATCCGTGGCCTCGACAATGATGTGACTGTCATATCACAACTCTTAGTATTCATCCATAGCCTCGACAATGATGTGACTGTCACATCACAACTCTTAGTATTCATCCGTGGCCTCGACAATGATGTGACTGTCATATCACAACTCTTAGTATTCATCCGTGGCCTCGACAATGATGTGACTGTCATATCACAACTCTTAGTATTCATCCGTGGCCTCGACAATGATGTGAGTGTCATATCACAACTCTTAGTATTCATCCGTGGCCTCGACAATGATGTGACTGTCATATCACAACTCTTTGTATTCATTCGTGGCCTCGACAATGAATTTAATGTCACACAAGAATTAGTATCATGTACAACACAGGAACAGGTGAAGACATCTTCAAAGAATTGCAAAAAGCTGTATTCGAATATAACCTGGAGCGGAATAAACTGCTATGCGTGACAGTTGATGGAGAACAGAACATGTCTAGGTTGAAGAAAGGTTTGGATGGACAAATCACAAAAGCCTGTGAGGATGGTGGATTCTCAAAACCCATGTTTCTGCACTGCGTTACACATCAGCGAGCATTGTGTGAAAAATGTGGATATGTCTTGCGTTCTGAAACTTGTTGTTTCAACAGTGAATTTCGGTCGATCTCATGGGCTTAATCATTGCCAGTTTTATTTTTCTGAAAGAAACTGATTCTGAGTTCGTTGACATGTGGAAAGAATCTGTCACGGCTCTTTCAGCTCAGAAAAGAAATTGATTCATTTCTCACAGAGAAGAATCGACCCAAACCACTTTTATCAAACATTGACTGGCTTTGGAAATTGGCATTTTTTGCAGACGTGACAAGCCATATGAATCAATTAAACAACAAAACGGCACAATACCGTAACTGGAACAGTACACAAACAACCCGCACACAGGAGTGAGGAGCCAAGGACGGCGTTTCGGTCCGACTTGGACCATTTACAAAGTCACAATGTGTTACTTTGTAAATGGTCCAAATCAGACTGTAACGTCGACCTAGGGTCCTCTCTCCTGTGTGGGGGTCGTTTGTGTATTAAATCAATTGAATCTGAATTTGCAAGGTGAAACAAATTTGATTTGTGATCTATTCACACATGTCAAGGCATTCAGGGCAAATGTTATTTGAAAGACAAGTGAAAGTTTCTAACTTGGTTCATTTACCAGCTTGTGAAAAATTTCATGAAGAAAGTGAGGTAAAAATTTCCTTCTTCATTTGCAACATAAATAAAAAAAATGATTTGCAAAGACAATTTCAGAAATTATTTTTTGATCTTGTGGAAAAACGAATGAAATAAAGCTATTTCAAAATCCATTTGACTGCAATGTTGACACATTCCCAAGTCAATTTAAAATGGAAATTATTGATCTCCAGTGAGATGACATAATGAAAGAAAAGTATAAAGAAGGAAATCCGATCCAATTTCATAAATTTTTACAGCCTGAAAAGTTTCCAGATTTGAAGCGAATTGTTGTGGATTCGTTTTAGTTTTTGGAACAACGTGCCTTTGTGAATAAACATTTCGAAAATGAAATATATCAAGTCTAAATATCGGAGATCCCTGTCCTAGGCCATACTAAGTCATGGCATCATCCGCAGATCTATTTATTCCCTGAAAGTCTAGTCACCAACACTGTCATTAATCCCATGTAACCATCAAAGGTGCATTTCATCTTTTAGCTAAAGGTTACCACCTGAGATATTCATTCTGTGTGTCAAGACAAACAGTAAGATATATATACAGGTAAGATATTCACAACAGCACTTGAAACAACTCAAGTAATCCTATGGTGAATGTGTGGAAAATACTGTATATATTTTCCAGAAATACAGTAGTTATTTGTAAATAGATGGCCATACTGTATTTAATAAAATTTATGTTATCGAAAACGGGAAGCTGCGCCTGTGCAGAAGGACAGTCGCCATTATTGCTTGAATTGAACAGACGTTGTGAATAATGGGAAGAATTTTTTGTGCTCTAGAGGTTAAAAATTGGGTTGACACCTCTCGAATAGGAGGCAAAATTGTTGGATGTGCATTTCTGCATAACTTGAGATATCAGGCGACAGGACAGGACAACTCCAGGAACCTCAGATAAGCTGTCTAATTTATGTTTAAATTCTGGCAAGTAAATTTTTCATAAATGTAGGCAAAAGGGGGGGGGGGAGGTCCTGTATATGACACATTAATCTCCACTCAAATTGGTGAGTGTTATTTTAAGATATATTCTCCTTCTGTTATATAAATGTGTGTATATATATATATATATATATATATATATATATATATTATATATATATATATATTATATATATATATTATATATATATATATATATATCTTTATTAATTTAATATACAGTTCACAAATTTATATATTTACCAGCATTCCTGGTGATGTATTTTTCATTTTTAATTAATAGGTCCAGAGCAACTTGTGGATATAACAGTGGTAGGTATCGAAGGGGGACATTTTTTGTGACCTAGGTGTCCCAAATTCCTACTTGTCTAACTGATAAATAATAATTATCTTTGTTCATTTACTGTTATGTACATAATGATGCATTCAGATAAATGCAATTTTCCACATTTAATTTGCCCGTTGGTCCTTCTTGATCCGGAGGTAATTAGTGAAGTCATTAATTAGTTAATTACTTAATAATTACATGTGAAATAACAGAAGGAGGTGGATTTTAAGTTCACAAATTTACTTAATGTGTAGTGGATTATAATTATTACAATATTAATTTGGATAAGTCAAGTCTGGCTAAGTTTATATTAATTTGTATAATATTAATTTGATAAGACAATTCTGGCCAAGATTTATATCAGTGTATGTGTAATTGATAAGCCATGTGTAGCTAATTATTAATGTGTATAATATTAATTTTGCTATGCCAAATTCTGGTAAGGATTTATTAATTTGTATAATATTAATTTTGATAAGCCAAGTCTGGCTAAAGGTTTGTATTAATGCACATTTAAAATTATATTATAATTTTTTATATGTAATTGCTAAGCTCAAGTAGCTGGGATTTATTCAAAGGTAGGTTGTGTCAGTGTTGCAAGTTGTAATCAGTGTTATTAATAAAGTTGAATTTAATACATTGCATCATGGCTGAAAATGAGGAAATTAATGTAGAAGACAAACATATGGAATATAGAGTGAAGAAAGCATCATTGCAAGCTAGAAACGTTCATGTAACCAAGGCATATAATAAGTGCTTGGAATTAATGAATCAAGAAACTGTGAATACTGATGATTTAAAATTGTATTTAGATGCTTTAGAGAATAGATATGATTCATACAAATTATATTACAACAAATATGAAGGAGATTTATTAGTAAACTGCGTAAATGAGACTGAAGTAGATCTTATGATTAATCAGTATTGTGAATTAGAGGAAAAGATTCTTGTAAAAGTCAGGCTTTGAATAAATTAAAATGTGTAAACCAGGC